CTGGTGAAAATTTCATGTCATTAGCACCTCTAGTAATATATTTACTGAGAAAAATGGTGACGTGTTCAATACTTATTTTACCCGCTGTACAAACTAAAACAATGCAATTCTAGCTAAAACATTGTCCAGCTCTGCTATATCCAGTGTTCCTAGCAGGGTCTTTTTATTTTTATTTATTTTTTACACATTAGCATTGCAGATGATTGCAGATGAGAGCTGTCAAGAGGCTGGCTCCTTCATAAAAATTCTGCCGCTTGAAGCAAAAAATAAATAAAATAATAAATATCAAGCTCAGTCTCCAGGGAGGGAACAGCTCAAGTGATCTCAACCTTCAGTGTTTAACGTCGTTGCTCATGTTTAATCATGGAGAGTCATTTGCATTGACTGGGTCCCTGTTAAAGAGTTCAAGAATCTTGTTAATGAGGACACAGGGTTAGGGTTAGCTCCGTTTGTAGGAGAAACTGTAGCCTTTCCTGCTGCGTATTGGCAGTTCATGTACGCAAAGCTTTTTGAATTCAGGTCTCAGAGTGGAGGTTTTTGGGGGAAAAAACTGCATTTTGTGCACTGTGGACAGCTGCAGTCAATAGTTCTTTTGACAGGAGCAAACAACCTCATCCTCCTTTGAATATTCACCATTTTGGATAAAACTGTTTTATTGCTATAGAGAATGGTTTGCACAAATTGTCATTATAATGCAATAATCACAGTTCTGACTAGGGATCTGGCATGAAAATGACAGCAGATTCAACGAGCACAGCCTCAGTGTAGACATGTGACCAATACACAGGAAACAGAAAAATGCAAACTTTTCCAGAGACATGCATTTCCTCAAGGTATGCTAGGCCTTTATTTTTAAGAGCTCCAACAGAACATCCTCGTCAGATCTGCCAGTGTGAATTATCAGCTCATTTCCTGCTGGCTTTTTCCAGCCATAATTCAATTCTACCTCTTGTTTACAAAACTGCCCCRAGCGTTAAAGGCCATCTGGCTGCAGCAAACTCGATCTCTGATCCTGTAACCCTCCATCACCCTCAGTAACCAGACTTTACCCTGTTTCCCAGATCGCTTATATAGTCTCATGTTGCTCACTACACCGTTACTGTTTTTACCCTAAAAAATCCTACAAAAAATCATTTTATATCAAACATTTGATGCTACACTCCAACATGAACTTTCTTGAGCAAAAAGGGATTTTGTTTTTAAAGTGGTGCTTGTGTTTTTTGCTTTGTCAGGTTGCAGGAGAGCAGAAGTATCACCCAGAATGCTTCAGCTGTCTGAACTGCCGCACGTTCATCGGCGATGGAGACACGTAYGCATTGGTGGAGCGGTCCAAACTCTACTGGTGAGCGTTCAGCACAGCACTGTTAAAAATCAAAGCATCCGAACATGAGTTTTTGAAAATTAATTCAAACCATGAATTGATACAAATGGTTAGAAGAACGACATGAAGATAAGAGATTATTGTTGATAAAATAAACTAAACATAAATAAGCTATGGTGCGTTGCTTTTAATAGAGCTTTGAACTGAGGATGAAATGTTTTAATTAGGATTTATTTTAAGTCTTTATGAAAACAAATACTCATAAATGTACAATCATCTAAAGCTCCTAGAATATATTTTTTTACCAAAATAATTTTAAAAAATGTGAAGGATAAAAAAAAATAGTGAGAACTTAAGTATTTCAGCAGAAAATAATGGCAAACTGGTTGCTTTTTATTCAAACTCTGACATGATTTATAAAGGTTTGAGCATGTTTGTCGTTTACACTTCTCATACTTGCAGATTTRTTCTTTGCTGGTTTGCTGCAGGTTTGTGTTAATATGATGGTCACAAACCACGAGCATCAAAAACAAGAATGGGAAACTTTGAGATGCACATTGTCTAAAAGCTTTCTGCACTTTTGTGTCTTCAGCATCAAGCAGTACTGTAAGAGAGGAATCAAGTCATTCAGACAAAAAAAATAAAACAACAGATAACAGAACAGCATGTAGCTCCAAAATCAACGTTTTTTAGTAATTAATTAGGGACACAGATGCTGAAACAGTAATGAAAAAAGAAAAACTCCAGTTTTATAATTACAGTGGAGTGCGAAGGTTTGGSCAGCCTTGTTAATTTTCCTGATTTACCTTTATAAATCATTGATTGTTTGGATAAAAMATCAGTAAAATATATCATATAAGGGACAAACAGTGATATTTGAGAAATGRARTGAAGTTTAAATGMTTTACAGAAAGTGTGCAATAATTGGTTARACAAAATTARGCAGGTGCATAAATTTGGGCACTGTTGTCATTTTATTGATTTTAAAACCTTTTCTCCGCCCACATAACAAACAGAGCCGCTTGAGGTATGCTAAAGCACATTTGGACAAGCCAGCTCCATTTTGGAATAAGATGCTGTGGACTGATGAAACTAAAATAGAGTTATTATATATATATTATTGAAAATCTGTGGTGTCACTTAAAGAGAGCTGTCCATGCTCAGAAACCATCAAACCTGAATGAACTAGAGATGTTTTGTAAAGAAGAATGGTCTAAAATACCTTCAGCAACAATTCAGACTCTCATTAGAAGCTGAAAGAAGGCATTTAGAGAATGTTATTTCTGTGAAAGGAGGATCTACTGAATATTAAGTTAAGGTTTGTTTGTTTTCTTTTCGTGCCCAAATTTATGCACCTGCCTAATTTTGTTTAACCAATTATTGCACACTTTCTGTAAAACATATAAACTTCATTTCACTTCTCAAATACAGTATCTGTTTGTCCCCTATATGATATATTTTACTGATTTTTTTTAATCCAAACAATCAATGATTTATAAAGGTAAATCAGGAAAATTAACGAGGATGCCTAAACTTCTAAACTTCCGCACCCCACTGTATCTTGTTTTTTGAATTGCCTCAAAGGTTTGTAAAAATAAATAAATAACTTTTCCAGCCCATGTTTTAGGAGACAAAAGGTCCTATTAAGTTAATTTTATGAAATGTATTTGCTCGCCCTAAAGGTCATACTTAACTCAAGACAATGACTGCACAGTGAGTCGAAGCAGCATCTTGTCAACAACATGTGATGCTTTAGAAGCTGATGTAATGAGAAATAAACGTTCTTCTCGTGGAAAYCTCAAGAGGCTTCCTTTTCTTTCTGTTTTTTCTCATAACCTTCACCCTCCCACTTTCACTCTCTCTTTCTCCTCATCCTCTCGGACTCCAGCGGTCACTGTTACTACCAGACCATCGTGACCCCGGTGTCGCTGCCAGACTCGCCGTGCTCGCGGATCCCTCACACCGTCACGCTCGTGTCCATCCCAGCGTCGGACGAGGGAGACAACGGGCGCAGAGGTCGAGGCTTCTCCGTGGCCATCGACCAGCCTCTCAGTTCGATCAACAGCTACAGCCCCGAACACGGACGCACCGTCAGAGTCTCCCAGTGAGTGTGTAAAWTTTTTTTAAAAAATAGCGACACTTGGAGCAGTAAATGAACAGAGATGAAGGATTATGTTGCACACGGGAGGTAAAATGAACAGAAGTTTAAATTGCTGTAATAAAAATTAGATAATTGTTCTTTTTCCAGAGTGGATGCTGACCTCATGAGYCCAGATGTGAAAAACTCCATTCATGTCGGAGACAAGATCCTGGAAATCAACGGGACGCCCATTCACAACGTTCCTCTGGATGAGGTGCTTACTGTTGTGCCTTTATCTTCCAGACTTTCTTAGGAAAAGAAAAAGTTTAACACGCTCACCTGAACTCACCATTTGTCTCTAGATCGACCTGCTCATCCAGGAGACGAGCCGCCTGCTGCAGCTCACCATCGAACACGACCCTCACGCTCAGGAGAAAAGAGGAAGCTGCTCAGAGGTTGAAGATCAGTTGGACGGCACCCTGTTCACCCCAGTCTCAGAGGGTCCCAGCCCCACCCTGCCAGTCACCCAGCCCCCTAACCCTGACATCAGCAACCTGAAATCCCGCATCATCACGTAAGAAACGGCACACGTCTCTRGCGTCTACTGCTTTTAAATGACCGCTCCATCCGGTAATCMTTGTGTCTCATTTTCACCGTTTTGTCTCCGTCGCTCAGGAGGAGTTACAGCATCGACAAATCGCCAGGCTCCAGTAACGCAGCGTCGCCCATCTCTCAGAGGAAGGACATCCACCGGTCTGAGTCGCTCCGAGTCGTCTCCAGTCGGACTCACCGCATCTTCCGCCCGTCTGATCTCATCCACGGAGAAGTGCTCGGCAAGGGCTGCTTCGGACAGGCTATAAAGGTAGGCAGAAGTCTGACACGCTGAGGGGAGGGCAGAATCAGTCTGTAGGGACCATTTATTAATCTTAAACTGCAGGGATTATAAATTAACATGTTCTGGTCATTACCATGTGAGAGTTTTCTGTTTAAACTTAACCTTGGTGTGATTTTTTTCAATGTATAGGTGACACACAGGGAGACTGGGGAGGTGATGGTGATGAAGGAGTTGATTCGCTTTGACGACGAGACTCAGAGAACGTTCCTGAAAGAGGTGAGTGGAGAGGTTTTATCATTCAGGAACATCACATTAGCTCTGATGTCATATTGTAGATGTCACTCTGCAGCCTCACTTTCTTTCATACAGCTGTCTGGTAAAAAAGGATTTGTTGTTGGTCACCTTAGCTTGTTCCTGCTGGCCAACCAGAGTSAGCATGTTGATAGTTTCATTCTAAAATTAGTTGCAGAATCTGAGGACTGACGGCGCTGCTGGTAGTTGTGTGTTTCTGTCATACACAAACATCTGCTCAGCTCTGCGACCACCTGCAAATATGCCACCGAGTTGAATTAGTCCTACCTTGAATGTTCAGGTCTGCAGACTRATTCTGTAGAGTTAGCTGCGTTCATGGGAGTTCTTCTTGGTTGTTGGTATTTACATTATAGCTTTAGATTGCAGCGACACGAAGCCCTTTGTAATCACTGCAGGCAGGAGTAAAAACCGTCTGCGAAACAAACTCCAACCACAGTTCAGCTTGATTATTACTCCCAGCGGCTGTTTGCTAGTAGGTGGCCCGAGTCTCGCATTGCCAGGTCTCTTTTCATCTTCCTCAGTGAAGAAAAACAAGTGTTTATGCGTAATTGTGGCTTGTCTACTTCTTCCACACGACTCAGCCTTCAGGAGAGAAAGGAGCTTTTTTTAAACCTCTAAAACTGCTTTAACGTTTGATTAWATCTGTTGCATTTTATTCGCATTGAAGCTGCCATAATAGAATTTTACWCCTAGTTCARTTTTAYTTGAGATGAAACTCTGCTGTTTATAACAAGGTATGAAAATGTCCTCAGGTGAAGGTGATGCGCTGCCTGGATCACCCCAATGTGCTCAAGTTCATCGGAGTCCTCTACAAAGACAAGAGACTCAATTTCATTGCCGAGTACATAAAGGGAGGAACCTTGAGGGAAATCATAAAGAAAATGGTGAGATGTTATGAAGTGTGTTGCCCACTGTCTGTCTGTTATAGCATTTTAAAAAATATACAGATTTGGCAACTAATGAGTTAAAATGTAAATGTGATTTCTGTCTGCAGGACGGTAACTATCCCTGGAACCAGCGGGTCAGTTTTGCTAAGGACATTGCTGCTGGGATGGTGAGTAACAGCAGATTGATCCTCCTTGCTGTTTGCACCGCTGCCTCCCTCTAGTGGTCATAGTTATGAACTACAACCATGAGCTCAAAAAATAATTAAATCAAAAAATGGCTTTTAGCATGTTTTTTGTTTGTTTCAAGATATAAATACAGTAGTCACAAATAGATGTAATTAGTAAAATGTGTGTACTTCAATTATGTTTTTGTTTACTTGCTTGTTTTTAGACTTATCTCCATTCCATGAACATAATCCAYCGGGACTTAAACTCACACAACTGTCTGGTCCGAGAGGTAAGAACCTGCAGTTCACTTGTGCAGAAAGTCTGAATCTCCTCCTGAGAAACATTAAAACATAATGATCCAGCAGTCCTTAAAGGAATACATATTGTCTGCTGGTTTTCATGCTATCATGAGATATTCGGCTAACACACAAAGACAATTACATGATCACATACATTCAAGTATGCTTAATGTGTCATAATAGTAATTTTACCCCATTTAATGATTTAAGGACAACACCGTGGTRGTGGCAGACTTCGGCCTGGCTCGGCTCATGATTGATGATAAGCATGAAGAGAAGCTGACGCAGGGAAAGCTGTCYGGCCTGAAGAGGCCCGACCGCAGGAAACGGTACACCGTGGTGGGAAACCCCTACTGGATGGCTCCAGAGATGATCCATGGTATGAAACACAGGAACACGTGCCTTTGCACAAATAACGTTAATATTCATGATTTTTATTCTATTTCCATAAATTAGCGTGCTAACTTTGTTTTATGTTCTCCTCAGGGAAAAGCTATGATGAGAGAGTTGACATCTTTTCTTTTGGCATCATGCTCTGTGAGGTAAAGGACCTGTTTGCTGTTTCACTGTGAATCTTAAAATTCAAATTTCAAAGAGACTTTCGCGTCATTTGCTGATTCATCGTGAATTTTTATTTTTCTGCTTTTATTCRGGATACATTTTACACCTCCACTTCTATCATAGTATGCACTTTCTTGCGTTAAATTCTCTAAAGCGTAATTGCACCTCCTAGTATATAAAGTTCATTTTCTTGTCAACAATTTGTAGCGTTTGGTTTAATTTGCACACAGCTGCAGCAGGTTTGTTTCAGCTCCTGCTCTTGTTGGCAGTAACCCCCTGCTGGCTAATATGAGTTCAACTTGTGCAGAGTGTCCACAACAGTACATGCAGCTCCAAGTTTTAGAACAACGTATTCATTAAAGGGTCTCCCAGTACAGCTCTGAAACAGACAGGAGCACCACCAGCCCGCAGATAAAAAGAGATGTGACCTGTAAACTTTACCAGTCTGCCCGGTGGTTGGCAGCTCAGTCTGAGTCCTGCTGGGCTTGGCTCTCTGTATTTTAGTCCCTTCAAAAATAAAAGCCCCAGGAAGCCATACTTAACTAGAATAGTGTTCTACCACAGCCTGTAGGATAACTGGACACCATCCCTTCCTGTTGCATGGTTGTTCTTGGATGCAGTAATTAAAGGCGGTCCCAGTGCACTGAGAGTAACCACGCTTGGCAACAGGAAAGAAATCTGACGCTTTATTTTTAGCTGGCACGCACATCTAATGCAGCAAGAAGTCCACTGCTAATTTCAGCTCATTATTTCCCCATTTTAGTCTGAAATGTGTGGGAAAGCTGGATTTTTATGTTTTTTATGTGTCAGCATCTCAGGTTCTGTTTTTATTCAATGCAATAGCCATTTTATTTTTATGAGGTAACAGTGATGCTCTGTCAAAATATTAACATTTCTGAAGTGGGAATTCAGTTTCCAGTAGAGCTGTAGACATTAAGTGTGGTCACACACCACTCTCATAAATTTTGGAGTATTATTCAGTCACTCAGAAAAGCAATTATTTAGCGACTGTAACAAAAACCAAAAACTCAGAATAGCTGGGGTTTGTTTGTAGTTAAAGCTGTAGGTGCTCACTGGTTTAACTTTGTCCCTGTTTGTTTGTTTTTTTGCCCCCAACAGATTATTGGTCGAGTAAACGCAGACCCAGACTACCTCCCCAGGGCGACAGACTTTGGACTCAACGTTTCTGGCTTCCTGGAGCACTTCTGTCCCGCTGACTGTCCCCCCGCCTTCTTCCCCATGGCTGCTCTGTGCTGTGACCTCGATGCAGACAAAAGGTCAGRCAGCTTCAAATAATTCGTGCATTTTGGGGTATATTTGCCTTTGAYGTTCCWAAATGTTCTTGGAAGAAGAAAAAAAATGCATGTATTAAAACAGAGCTGTGTCTCTGCTTCTTTCATGCTCAGACCTGCCTTCTCCAAGCTGGAGGAGTGGCTGCAGAACCTGAAGATGCACTTGGACATCGGCCTRCCCCTGATGTCTGAACTGGACCAGTTGCACAAGGCCTTCTGGGAACGCCACAGCATCAAGCGCCCCGAGAACGGCCTGCACACGCACCCCGAGCAGCCCGAGTAGGGTCGACCGCCCGCCTCGGGTGGCAGCRCGGTGGGAGGAGTCGCGTTCAGGCTTCCAAGCAGAGGACACTGGTTTTTAGCTGGCTCAGGCTGAACAAAACAGACTCAGGGGGAAAAAAGTGGATCTGAAAAGCCACCTGTGTGAAATGCACACAAACACACACATGCTTCATCTCCAACCGAAGGTGGAGTAGACTGTCAAATGCAAATCAGACACTACTTTCAACATATGACTCTTGAATCATGTAGATATAACTTGAGTGGTCACAAATACCTGTTGTTCTTACTGTAGTGTGCAAAATTACATAGAAACAGTGACGAAATGAGCAAAACCTTTTAGTTTCTTCACTCCCCAGCCTCTGCAGAGAACTTTGTGCAGTTTGTGCTCGCAGGTGTTTCTGTGTGCATTTGTTTCTTTTTGGATCTCCAAAATGTACTTTGTGAAAATGATTTTTTTTTTTTTTAAAAAAAGGCCTGTTTGCTGTCTTAGAGACGACTTTTAGATCCACTTGTATAAAAAAAGCGAAACCTCCCGAGCTTTAAGCGTCTCATAAATAACGCTGCCGGGTCAAATCCTGCTTCACTGTGCGTCCGCTCTGACCACTGATCTRCACGTGGCGCCGCCTCGTCTGTCCCTATTTATCACGTAGCACTGACTTTACGTTAAGGTACACATTCAGACGCAAACTTTAATCTCTCGATTTAAAGAGCGCTCATTTCATTGYCTTTACGGTGTACAGCGCCACCAAYGTTGTAAATGTTTTAAATATTGTAAATGTACAGTCTTATTTTATATACGTCCTCTACATYGCCATATTTTTATTGGCCGACCAGAAGAGGAGGAGAGTAAACCGCGCTTTCAAAGGCACAGCCAAATGTTTTATTGTATGTATTTTTTTCTGTTTTGTTTTGTCATTTAGCATTTGAGATTTTAGGAAYTGTAGCACCAGAAAACGTCTTCAAAATGTCATTTTAAACTTTCAGYCCCCTCAAAAAAGCTTTCCTACTGATTGGTCCTATGGCGTTAATTTCTCATGGAAAGCTTTTGAAATAAAACTGACTAATAGGAGCCCTAATCCTCTAAACCTGTCTTGTGCTAAACTAAATTAYATCACTGTAATAGTTTGTCAGGTCACATCAAATTGATTTTAAAAAAGAAAGAGTTAGCTACTCTCGTTAAGTTTGCAGAAACTTTTGTGATCAGCTCTAATTACAGTCTTATTTGGCACAAACCCTCCTGTGCTGTAATCCATACTGGATTATTTAATTAGCTGGAAGGGGAGGGGTTTAATTACTTCATAGAGTTCGCAGAATTGATTCTGAGGACAATCAACCACTTTTTCACAGCTGGTTGTTCTGTAAAAAATACTAACAAGCAGAAGTTTCTCTAAATGGAAAGCAGCTGTGTGCTTTTTTTACTCCTTCGAGTCAAACGTTTCTGCTTTTCCGACATCCTTCTTGTACAGCGTGTTAGTATATTTTCACCAGGTACTGCCTCGTCCTCTCTGTTTGTCAACATGTCTCCTCTGGAGGATGACTCATCGTTTGTTTACACATAAAACCTATCTGTACTGTAAATACGACTGTATATAGATACTGTCCTACGTCTGCCTGCCTGCGTGCGTTGCATAAACACACACACACACACACACACACACACTGCTCAGAAATATTCCGACACTGTCAAGTTTCACTCGCACCTTCTGAAGTAGGACAGCGGTCTTTAAGGATCTTTAAACTTTTGCTTCTTCCTTTTCACGAGCTGCATGATGAAGTGGCAAGGTCTCTTCTGCTTCCACTCTAAGCTGTTTTACTTTTTGRATATCAAGGTTTTTAAATAAGACAACTGAACGGGAGATGAAGAGAAAAAGCTGAGCTGAAAAAACGAGAAAGGAAAAAAAAGGTCTGTTTTTCTACTCATATAAACCCACGGGAATCCTTTTGTACACATTTGAGTACTTTTATTTGCACTAAATGGCCGTTTGGGGCCGTGTTTGTTAATTTTTCTCTCTTGGGCTTCTTGTGATACAGACATGATTTATGTCAGTTCAGGTTGATAAATGAATGCAAGCCACTGTTGGAGCCTTTCAACTGTTTAAAAACAAGAGGGTTCTGGGAACTTCGACCTCTCAGCAGCAAACGGACCCGTCTAAATACTTAGATGCACTTTTATTTGCAATRCAAAACAATATTTTCTAATTTAATAAGAGGAGGTTAAATGACATCTAAARGACAAGGTGTCCTGGTTTTTGCTGTTGATTGGTAGTGATGTCTCAGCTTTGCCTGCTGCCTATGGACTGGTCCTTTGTGAATGATGTCRTGTGTGATTTCTGACCGCTCGGTGACGTTCGTGACGCCCACAGACGCTGCTGATGTTTCTGACAGTCAAGCACCTGAACTGGCCTCCTTCACCTCTTCCTCGTGTTTTTTGGCTCAGGGCCGTAACATTTCCGGAGCTTTCGTCACGATTCTGTTCAMTCAGCAGCTTAATAGTTAATCACCAGTAACAGTGGGGCTGGAAGTGACACCCTGCAGGCCGAGAACTCAGACCGAGTCCCTCCCGGCTCACCCGGTGTSCACCTGTGGCTTTGTCGTGTTTTCCCTCACCGTCCCACAGTCCAGCATGTTAGACGCATCAGTGATGGCCACCGAGAATGTTCCCGCAGCACTTCTTTGCAAAGGATCGTTACCTCTGAACAATGCTGTGCCTTTGTTGTAAGCTAGCCTTGCCAACGACTCGAAAACATGAACTGATTTCCCTTTTTTTAAATAATGTATAATAACTGCAAGCCTGATTCAAGTGAACTGAATATTTTAGTGTTGTAAAAGATTTTATCATGTTCTGTACCATATTTATAGTTTCAGATCTCCATGGTCAGTTTTGATATTTTAATACTGTATTCCTTTTGTCTTATTTTATTTTTTTTTTTACACAAGCTGTGAAAAGAAATTCTGCACTTTAATCCTGAACGTGAACATAGACTCTGAGGAGTTGATTGTATTTTGTTTTCTTTGGGTCACAGCTTAAAATAAAATTGTTGCTCCTTAAGCAAATCACAGACTCAAAATGCTCGTTTTTTTTAGCGCAAGAAGTTTAATTTTTGAAATTATATKCATGCAATTCTTCACTTAGCGTTACTAATGAGGGAAACTATAGCACAACTAATACTGTAGGCAGAATCAATTTTACTCATAGAACTGATACTCAAAAAGCAGTGTTTCTAAAAAAATAGAAACTAAAATAGTGCTGGGATTGCTTTAAATTGGAAGTTGTTTCCAAAGCGACCAGCAGGTGTCACTCTCCATCTCTAATTCATTTTATATGTCCCATTCAGTTTTCATACTAAACATATACTATAGTAAAGTATTTGGACACACCTGTTGCTTGTTTATTTCAGGTGTTTCAGTCAGAGTTTGAACAAAGCAACTCAGAAATGGGTAAACTTTACACTTTAACAGTTCCAACTGTGCAGCAACACTTTGACCCTTTTCTATTTTATCGTGACTGTACCTCAGTGCACAACGCATGGACTAAAGAAAAACACGGTTTGATGAGTTCAGCTTGGAAGAATTTGACTGTCCTGCATAGAACCCTGACCTCAGCCCCATCGAGCACCTTTGGAATGAACTGCAACAATTTAATTCAGTTTATTTATCTTAGAACAGGCATGGGGGTGACAGTGGGAAGCAATGATTCCCTTTTAACCTTATACCCTCAGCAGAACCGAGCTCAGGATCTGCCTCGACTGGTCGGTGTCACAGAGGACAGGAAAGAGGCAGATTAAAAAAAAGAGACTGGTTCAGGAGTAGTTTGTCTGGAGGGGTGGGGGGAACATAATAATGGCATCAATATACGTTTATTGACAGAAATGACAATTTAGTTCTACAAGAGAGGGGAGAATGTCAAGCTCTTCCTCCCTTCCTACCTGAGTTGTAAAGTAACTAAGTACAAATACTTTGTTACTGTACTTAAGTAGAATTTTTGGTTATCTGTACTTTACTTGAGTAATTCTTTTTCTTTCTTTTTTACTTCTACTTCTTACATTTTCACACAAGTATCTGTACTTTCTACTCCTTACATTAAAAAAGACAAGAAGCAGAAAGATGATACTTTTATTTTATTTTTGCTAGTTTAAATTCCAGCTTATTGTAAAAAATAAATACTATCCATATAAAATGTGCCTCCTAGATAGAGTGAATTTAATTGTGGTTGAATGAGAAGTATAAATATTTATGAAAAATTCTGATAGTGTACTTAAAAGTAGAGGAGGTATTTGTATTTCACGAATTGTATTATTGCATTTGGCCGCAGCCCTCAGATTTTCATTTTGGGGAAAAGCTTTGGGCAGCCTTGATATATGTATATAAACTGAAACAGCTRGACTAGTTGTTGTGAGCTTTGTATGCAAATTCTGAAATGCACAGGAGAGAAGCTAAAATTGAAGAATAAAGAATCTTATCCAATATACGTTTCTGACTTTTTAAATGCTGTACAGAATGAATGTCTGTCATGATGTATCAAATGATAAAATGAGCTAGAGTAAAAAAAAAAAAATTTAAGTCAGGAAACCAATCGAAATTTTGTAGAGAGCAGGAGCAATAAGTAAAAAAAAATAACTAAGGATAACTGAGGAGGAACCATGTAAACTGATGTTTTAAAAAGTTATGCATGTATAGCACAAGTGACTGTCCCCAGTAATCTTTATAGGTTTGAGAAAACATTCAGTAATATTTAATATACCTCTGGTGGTTGTTGTTGTTGTTGTTGTTGTTGTTGTTGTTGTTGTTGTTGTTGTTGTTGTTGTTGTTGTTGTTGTTGTTGTTGTTGTTGTTGTTGTATTCATATCAGGGTCAGGGGGCGGGGCAGTCCAGTGCTCTGCCTTCCTGATCCACGTGCGATTGTTTTCATTCCGACGCTGCTGCTGCAGTTGTGCGTCATGACGTCACCGAGCCAGCAGCAGCCAGCAGCTCTGTCAGTTGGACAGCGGCGTCATCCAACTCGGTGCTGCGAATTCCCGCAGCCTCTTCCTCGGTACCAGCACAACCAGTGACGGACTATCTGGTGGCGGACGGGTTGATCCACAAAAACAACCCTCGGAGTGAAATTTGACCGTCGGCGTTTTATATCTACCGAAAGTATTAAAGAAAACACCGAAGAGGTTTTTAACYATTGGCACCAACTCAAACTTTCAGATGGAAAATTCATTGAGCAGCCGGTTTCGGTCCGCAATGTTTAACCACGGTGAGTATTTTTTCCCCCTAAATTAATTTTTAATTATAATACTGCACAACCATGTCGTGTCAATCAGAATATGCTCGAATTCGTTCCTAAATATTAAGAGTGCGTTTTAAAATCGGGTTAAAACGCACACACACACACCGTGACAGTCCTGACCCATTTGGCTGCTGGTCAGGTTTTATCCTGGCTTATGAACCGATGCTTCGGAGAAAATTTGACTGTTTTCTGCAGAAATGTTCCGCTGTCAGCAGCAGCAGTATATTATAGCCCGCTTCGTCCCGTTAAATACAAAACCTGTAAAAAAAGCTGGAGCTCCACACCGGAACCCGAACACTGTAATTCTGCAGCTATGCAAGAGTGGTACCAAAAACTGGCCACATTAAACTATTCCTGGACCACTGAGACATGCAGCAGGATTTCAACATTAGACTTAAAGCTTGATAGAGAGCTGCGAGACTCATTTGTGTGCCTTTAACTAATTTAAAAACCAAGATTATTCCCTGTTTTCATTAATGCGGTTTGATTTTCTCAGACCAAACGTGTTAGAGGTCCTACAGTTTGTATCATTTTGTCACTTTATTTATTTATTTATTTATTTATTTATTTATTTATTTATTTATTTATTTATTTATTTATTTATTTATTAAGATAACTTAGCATAAACCCTAAGCATCTTGGGAAATTATTCTTGATTCAGACCAGATCACATAAAACACATWGGCTTCTCACATAACCAGTGATGACTGGCATTAATCTGCCTGAACTACTAAAACCACGTTCCTGTAAGGGAACTTCAAGAAGATCTGGTTGCCTTCTCGCTTCTGAAAGCGGATACCTGACGTGTACCAGGTGTGTAAAAGGAGCAGCTTTCAGGTAACCTCTGAATAGAGCTAATTAACACTAAGGAGTGGTACATTGTTGTGCTCTGACACTACCATTTTTTAGGTGTCTGGTAATGGTTATTTMGCCCTGCTTGAACCACTATGAGCCATGTGTGGTGACTTGTCATTAAGCCAGTGAACTAAATTTATTTATTCTAGAGACAACTAAATTATAACAACAGTTAAAATGAGCAAACTTAGCTCATTCATGTGAGACAATAATGACTTCATATTTTTTGTGTGTGTCAACAGCATCACACAAAGGAGATCAGTGTTTTTCCAGCAGTGACAGCTGAGGCCTCTAACAGTACATCCTTTATGCCTGAAACAGGCACACACGATTGTGCAGTTTTACAAAAAAAATAAAATAAAAACGTGCAATTATAACTAAAACACAAAGATTCAGTTTAAATCAACTTGGCACCTCCTCTCTGACCAGGCCTGCTGTTGAGTGGAGGCTGGTCTCATCAAGAGAGACAGCTGCAGATTATTTTTCTGAAACTAGTGACTTATTAAAGCTCATTTAAACTCCTGCTCTGCTGCCATACTTTATAGTGAAACTACCAGATCCACTAAAACTCTGATTTCCTAAAAGTGCAAGCATATATTTTTACTGATAGATCCTAAGCATCTCCAGTCTGCATATTTCAGTGTCCACTCTGTAAGGAGGTGAGGTTGTCATCCAGATGTTGGGAAGATTTTAATGAGTCCAAATTATTGAATAATCATTAATAAATAATAGTAATCACAATGTTTATCTTTATCAATTTGGCTTTTTTTTTGGTGCAACCCCATTTATTGCATGGCCATGCCCAGGTCCCCCCTTCAAAATGAGATCTCAATCTCAATGGGGTTTTAAATCTGGTCAAATAAAGGAAACAAATTAATGAATGCATTTTCAAATTTGTTTCATTTCGTGCTGAACTAACTCACTAGACAAAGGTCAGTTATGATCTACCATACTGGGAGCTCTTCAGTATTTAAGAAGTAGAGCAAAATGCTCCTTTGTTACAAAATACAACAGAAACTGCAGACATCAGGACACAGTCCCTTTTTAAAAACAAAGTGTGAAGGTAAACAGCATCCAGCAGGACAGCATGTGGTGGGGATGGGTGGCCCAGTCCACAGTGTTCAACATTCCTTAGAAAGCCTTGAGGGATGCTGCTGTCACACAAACTCTGGAAGACCTCAGCATGTCAAAACCACAAAGAAAAAATGAGGTCGAGACAAAACCCATTACAGTAGTCACCGTTTCATTGGTCATGTTTTCTGTGCCAGTTCTAAATCAGCATCTGTGTTTATGTATTTAAAATGGCTTTCTTTTTGCATACTTTATCAAAATAATTCTTATTTATATAATTATCTTGCCACAGACTTATGGGATTTCTGGAGTGATGCAGACAGATGTCAGACAGGAGCATCAGGAGCAATCTGCGTCTCATAAATTATATAAAATCTGTATACAGTCACGACTAAACTGCTGCCTGTAACAATGCTGCTGTTCCTGCAATGATTATAAACTGTGGCAGAGGACATATAAAGATAAAGATAGTCTTGTTTGTGTCTCAGAACAATCTGTCCTGTAAGCTCACAGGCRCTGATGGTCCTGAGTTTAAAGAAGCAAATCAATATTGGTAATTTTTCCAATAGGTCTTCCAAARCAGGCTGCAAGGAATAAAGGAAATTTGTTCTGCTTTTTAAGAACAGTCATCAGTAAATGGCAGACATGATGCTTCAAGAGGCTAAATGTTCCAAAAGTGTCAAGCTTTGAGATAAATGTAACATATTTGTGATTAAAAATAGTTGTTTACATCAGTTTGTTGCTTACAGTTGGAAAAACATTTTCAGAATTRACTGATGCTGAGTCTTATGTGACTATTGCACATCTGGGCACTGAGTTTTACTCTTGTTTTTCTTTTCAAGTCTTCTCGAGCTGTCA